GATGGTAATACTCTGTATCTTGCTAAAGGTTCATGCATTTGTCAAAACTCAACAAACAGTATGCTGAGGAAGGAAGCCTTTCACTATAAGTAAATTCTACTTCAAAGCAATGTCAACATTGAACTCTAGTTAATAATTTGCATTCTGAATTGTTTTGGGTGAAGTGTACTGATGTCTGTAACTTACTTTGAAATGCATCAAAAAAGAAGGTGAATGGACAGATGGATGGGGAAATAGGTGGCCAACGAAATGTGGCCTGATATTTTAAATAAGAGTTCTTTTTTATTCTTGAAATGTTTCTGTATGTCTGGAATTCTTTTAAAATAAAAACTACCCCTCCTCCCCAAAATTATACCCGTGTGTCCATCAATCATGGACTTGGCTCTTCCTTCATTTCAGGGAGATTCACACATATTACTAAACAGGTTACATTCTCTTTTTTGAATTCTCGAGTTCCCAGGCACCAGCTGTCCTCTGAGCCCTCTAAATACATGTTATCTTGTCCAATTGCTGCAGTCTCTCCTTTTCCCCTTTGCATCCTCTCAGATCACGGCAGGACTTTCCTGGATGTCTGATTCAGCCCTCCACTGGAATGATCAGTCTATTATTGCTTTTCTGATGTATTTGTCAGTTCAGGAATTGTGTCATTCTGATATTCAGTTTGTCTCCTTAGCTTTGCAATCCCACACTTCACTTAATCCTGTTTGTTTTATCCTCTCATCTTCTGAGGTCTTGCTTTATTGAGATTATTTTACTTAAATACAAAATAATTAAGATTCTGGGGAAAGGGGTTGCTGCAAGCTACCTTTTCTCCCTGAATGGATTCATCCACTGTCCTCCTGGCCTACAGCGTCTGCACAGATGCCCCTGGCATGAGCGGCTCTGCCCAAATTCTCGTCTGCACAAAGACAGCAGGGTAGCTCACTGAGGTTTTCTTTCCTCCCCATCACCTGAACCAAGACCTGTTTCTCGTCTGCTGTAAAGCATCGTTTCGAGCCTGTTTCTGTTGCCTAAGATCATGACATGAGGATGGAGAGGACCTACCTAGGCTCTGGGAAGTCTTGGATGGCTGGCCTGGGCTCTGTCCCGTCTTGTATGGATTTGCTGAATGCCCGTCCCGGGTTCCCTCGCCTCAGCACAGGAATTTGCCTCTCCACACACCACACCTTGAGTCTTCAGGGAGGGCCAGGTGGTGGGGGGGAGGGGCGAGGAGTCTTCACTTCCTCGAGAGTTCACCTGGCTGGCCTGGGGGAGAAGAGGTGACTCAGCGCCCGGGCAGGGCCTGCCCTTACTGAGAGCCCGGTGTGGTGATTACCTTTCACTTACAGAGCTTTGCTTCCCCAAGACGCTTTCTCACGTTCAATGTCGTCCCCACCCCTTCCCAGAAGACAAGCCCGCCCCATCTTTCCCTCCCCCATCCCACCTCCCCTCCCCTCCACGTCTCAACCAAGCAGATGCCCCCATCCCACCTCCCCTCCCCTCCACGTCTCAACCAAGCAGATGAGGGGGGAAGACTTCTTTTAAAAACCTTTGGCCTTGGGTTAAGAGCTCATAAAGTGGTGCAGGGCACCTCAGCCTTCTCCTGTTCCTCCAGAGGATCTTGTCTGACTCACATTTTGTTTTCGCCTGTGTTGAAACATCCTTGAGGTTTTTTGTTTGTCTGTTTAACTCATGACAATTACTCTGGGTGCTTAACAGTCTTCTCTTTTCTCTTTCCATCCAGCAAAAAAGATAACAAAAGGGTACATTCCAGAAGTTTCTCCTGTCACGGGGGACGGGGGGCAGAAGTGGCCAGGGAGAGCTCTTTTTTTCATAGAAAGCCCCAGGTCACCCCCTAGGCAGCCTGCGCCTCTCTCCTCCCCTTCTCTCCGAGCTGGGAGCTGGGAGCGTGGTCCTTCCCCGTTGACTGCCCTCTCCCAGCACTTCCGTGGCAGGCAGGAGACTGAAAGGTTTATCCTGGGGACCCGGCCTGAGAAAGACCTACTGCTACGGACAATCTGAGTTCCCCAAGGAAACACACAGCAGAGGTGCTCAGCTTAGGATGCACACAGAAATCAACTGGGGTGCTTCAAAAACGCCGGTGCCAGGGTTCCCCCCCACCCCCCGACACAGCTCTGACTTAATGGTTTTGCAGGGAGGGCGGCTGCAGAGCCCTTCCAAAGCTCCCGGGGTGATTCTAACCCGAAACCACGTTGCGCGCTACTGCCCTCTAGCGGGGCTCACGGTTAACCAGCACCACCCCCGGGCTCGGAGCTTCCCGTCTGATTTTTGATGCCCCTCCCCAAAATAGGAGCAGACAAGCGTCACCAGACACCTGAGAACAGACGAGACCAAATCAAACATAAAGCAACTTGGAGGACCATGCAGAAAGTATATACGCTGTGTTTTTAAAAAATCATAAACATCCTCAGAAAAATGGAAGAAAAGATACTGAAAATACTGGAAAAAAAAACAGGATGCTATTTTAACAGGAACATTGAGAGAACCAAAAAGAGCTCTCAGAAGTTAAAACTATTATCACAGAAATAAACTTAATAGGAGTAGAGGATAAAACTGAGGAAATTTCCTTAAAAAAGTAGAGCAAAGAGCCACCTCAAGGCTCCAGCATCCCAGCCCTTCCTCCCCAGGCTAGCAGGGCCCACATGGAAAGAAATGGGGGGCGCAGACCCTTGGTGGCCCTCACTCCCCCACTCTCCGCAGTGCTGAGTGACACCCAGCGCTGCCTGCTGGCCCTGTGCCTGGGGAGAGGGGTCCTGCCCCAGCAGCTGGAGTTTGTGAGGGCCTCGGGAGGGGGTGTGGGGAGGATCTCGGGGGGAAACCTCGGGTGAGCGTGCCCTGGGCTCTGTGCAGCCTCTGCTGGGTGGGCCACACTCGGTCATGCGCGGGGTTATTCACTGCGTTGGGTTCCCACCTTGTGCCTGGCCCTCTGTGAGGGCCTCAGCGCCTGAGTTAGCTCGTGCAGGCGGCCTGTTAACAGAATTCAGTGGCATTTCCCAGAGGGGTGACCCCTCCACACGGTTCACAGATTTCAGATGAAAAATAGCGGATGGGTATCCAGACAGGGCAGGGCATGCAGAGGCTGGGAGTATTGGAAACCAGACACCAGCCAGCGCAGGGAAGCGCAGTGTTTGGGAATATATTCCTTGGCACCACAGTTCTGCAGGGAGCAAGGCCCCAGGTTCCGAGTCTCAGTTGTTGGGATTGGGCGAGCAGCCCCAGGCTCCCACCCTCAGGGTGGGTTCCACTGACCCCGGGCTTGGGAGACCTGTCTGTTTATTCTGGGTGGTTCCTTGCAGGTGGCGAGCATCTTGGGGCCAAACTTCAACCAGATGGAAGAAACAACCTTCTCCCTCCCCTGGCCGTCCTCTCCTCCCTGCAGAGTGAGGATTTGGTCCTCACCCAGAGCCTGGTGGAGCGCTGAGGGCTGCAGCTGCAGGGGCCGGGATACCAACTCACCTGGGACCCTGACGTGGTGCCACAGCTGTCTGCTCTCTACGTGACCCTCGCAGGGCTTCAGCCACTGGCCGACCCCAGCCCTGGGGCCCACCAGGCCGATGCCTGAGAAGGACGCCATAGCCTCCCCCAGTATCCCGACTCCAGGGAGCTGCCGGCCCAGAGCCTCCGTGCAGGGCCAGGACGCAGCAGCCCTCCGGCGGCCACAGGTGACTGTGGGGCTCCACCAGGGCTGGCTCACACACTCCCCTCTCTCCGTCAGACATTGGTCCCCGTCCAGGTCTGGAGGCGCACCCGTTAGATAAGGGTCCTACCTTGGATCAGAATCCTCTGAGAGGCAGGAGAGGCCTGTTCCAGAACAGCCTGGCCGCCAGTCACCGTGCAACCACCGACAGCTGTGCAGCTCTAGGCCTCGTGCTCCCCTCTTGGTGCTTCCTCCGCCTGCAAAATTACTCCCGGGAAAATGGGAGATACGAATTCCTAGCTCATAGGATTGCAGCGAAGATTTTAAAGAACAGTGCCTGGCCGTCAGCTACTACGGTGTGATGTTACCGTTAATAATAGTATCACACTGTTCTGCAAGAAGCTCGACCTTTCTTCAGCTTAACAAAGGACTTGGAAAGTCTCCCCTTACACTCAGCTTCCTGCAGCTCTCCTTCAGCCTCAGTTTTCCCATCTGTAAAAGGAGAGCGATGGGTCAAACTGCTCAGGTGTCACCCAGCTGCACACTGGGGTGCGGAGCAAGGACTGGGCCTGTTTGTGTGAGCAGTGGGGGAGCGTGCATGTGCGCGTGCGCGTAGGGGCGTGCACCGGAAGCAGCGGAGGAGCCTGAGGACGCATCAGGGACGGCACGCCAGAACCAGGGTCCCCAATTCCAGCTCCGCGTTCTTAGCAGAGCACCTAGACAGAAACGAACTAGTAATGGCATCTCAACCCAAAAGACCTGGATCTGAGCACAAATGCTAATTATCCTTATGACAAGTGTAAACTACTTGCAGCAATCCTAAAATAATCCAGAGGGCTTATCTAAATCTCTAAAGTGAGAAAACAGCCAACTGAAGTGCCTGCAGAAACAGGGTGGTGGTACACAGATAATCACGGGTAGAGTTGAGGGGAGACATGATGCAATGGATACTCTATCCCGTGAAGGAAGAGGCCCAGGGACTGGGGCAAAGGATGGGTGGAGAGATACCGACCAGGCTGTGTTTCAGAGGTAAGAGGGGTAAAAGGAGGCCAGCTTCCAGTGATGTAGGTTTTCAAATAAACCTGCTCTTGTAACCAGAGATCGGTAAACTCTGTAAAAGGCCACATAGTAAATATTTCGGCCTCTGAGGGCCATGTGGCCTCTGTCAAAAGAATTCCATTCTGCTGTTGTAGTGCGTAAGTAGCCAAAAATAATATGTAAACAAATGAGTGAGGCTGTGTTCCAATAAAATTTTATTTATGGACACTGGAATTTGAATTTCATATACTTTACACATGCCACAAAATATTATTTTGGCTTTTTGCAACCTTTTAAAAATGTAAAAACTATTCTTAGTTCAAGGCTGTACAAAAACAGGTGTTGGGAGGATTGGCCCACAGACGAGTTTGCTAAGCCTGGGTCAGAGGTTGAGAGATCTTCCCACTGATTCTCCAACATGCAGATTGTGAACCTTGTTAACTGCAAAGGCCACAGCGATATTACTTCCTCTATTTCAGCTGTGTCATTATTTTTAACATATATCCGTTCACTCCGTTCAAGAATTTGCTCGGCACCTACTTTAATTCGGGTGCTGTGCACGATCCTTGGGATGCGGAAGGAAAGCCAGACGTGGCTCTTCTCTGAGGTTCTTAGTGTCGGCAAAGAGACCCAGTTAAATATCGGAGGTGGTGGATGAAATCCTTGTAGTAGATTCTTAGGGCTGCCCTTTTAACAAATTACCCCAAACTGGGTGGCTTAAAACAACAGAATTTTATTCTCTCACAGTCCTGGAAGTCAGAAGTCTGAAACCAAGGTGTCAGCAGGGTCAGTTCCTTCTGGAGGCTCTGAGGGGGGATCTGTCCCAGGCCTCTCTCCCAGCAATTCTTGGTTCCTTGGCTTGCAGACACATGGCTCCAACCCTGCCTCCATCTTCACAGGCCTTCTGCTCTGTGTCTATTCCCTCTTCTTTCCTCTTACATTGAGTTTAGGGCCCAGTGTAATCCAGGATGGTCTTATCTCCAGGTCTCTGACTTAATTTCAGCTGCAAAGACCTTTTTTCCAAATGAGGTCACATTTTCAGGTCCCAGGTGCACAGATCTTTGGGGGAGAGACTATTGAACACATTACAATCCTCTTATTAGAAGCTGTCTAAAAGGGCATGGCTAATGTTATCCCCAAGGATTCGTCAAGGAGATGACACAGGCTGGTGGTCCCTGAAAGATCAGAGTTGCCAGACGGATGTGAGGGAAGGATGACAGGCTCCGGGGCCAGTGGACCTGAGTTATGGAAGTGTGACACCGCATGGAACAATTTGAACAGCACACAGTGGAGCCTGGCTGGAAGCAAGGTATGAAGTGGCAGAGTGAGACAAAGGCCAAAGAGGTAATCAGGGATTCCAGCATGAAAGGCTGGTCCTTGTGATTAGGCCTTACTTACTCAGAAGGTTTTGATGGAATCCTCTGGGATTTCCTCCCACAGTTAACCGTTAACTGTACCACAGCTCAGATACTCTTCTCATTAAACCAGTATGGCTGGACTAGACAAACATTAAGCAGCTTCTCCCAATCAGGACACTTAGATTTCATGAGTAAGGTTTTATGATCTTAAAACAATAGGCACGTGAGTTTCCTACCACTAGTGACACCCTGGCCTTCAATTTCTCCTGGGAAGTCCCTCCTCCACTCACTCTCCGCCCAGTATCAACGGCTGTTCTTCCCTCCACACCCCAGTTGCTACCTTCTTGCTTCTGGGAGGTACCAGTCAAGCAAGAGTATAGTCTTCCTTCTATGACTACATCCAAACAAGAGTAGATCAAGGATAAAAGTCACGTAATGACAAGGTCACTAGTCTTACTGCACTTAGCAAGATTTTAAGAGCAATTAAATAAAGAAAAAAATTAAAAGACCTAGCTCTCCCCCAAAAGAATTATGTAATTCTTATGTAATGTGTATAAGCACTCCATAAAAATACACATGGGGGAAAGCTCGAGAAGCCTAAAAACAAAACATCAGTAAACCAAGCCACACTTAGAAAAATGAAAGCTGATTTTTATTTTATCATCAACAGCCATTCTTTAAACATGAACATGCATACGTAATATTCTACGCACACATCACAGTTTTTAACGTTAGTTAATAAAGGTTAAACACACAACATACATCCTTACAAAAAAAGTCAAAATGCAAACTTAAAACTTTAAAACAAAAGTCTTACTAATTTAAAAAAAGTTTGTGTTGGGTACCATTTGTACAACACAGTTAATTTAAACATTTTCATTTTGGCTGCACATGAAAAAAGCGGCAGTAGAAAATAAAGTCATTGAGGGTTTTTAAATAGCAGAATAGGCAGTTTTGCCATGCAGGAGAAGCAATATTAAATATTAGTTTTCAAAAAAAATCCACATTTAAAAATATTTAGTTCAAGTCACAGAATTTTTCTCAGTAGAGACCCCAATGCAATGCATAATTAGCTGCCTTAGATGGCCTGTTTGAAAGGACAATGTCCCTTCAGAGTATAACTTTACTGATTTTGGCACAGAAATGAAGTCTTAAGAACAAGAACATGATTAAAAAAGAGGGAGGAGGAACAGAGGAAAGAAATAAAAAGCAAGAGTAAATGAGATAGTAATTGCAATCACTAAAAACTGTGCATTCTCAGTCACTGCAGAATACTGTCTTCTGTCTACAGCAGGTGCTTATTCCAGAACTGTCATTGCAGCATGGACTTGATCTGCTTGGAGGTAGTCTCATCATTCAGATGTTTTGTTGTGTACCTAAAAGTGAAACGCATCCATTTCAGGGAGTTAAAGAAACAAACAAACAAACAAACATAACCCACATCAGGCTCTACAATTATGACAAGAGGAGCGACGGGCCAGGCAGTCTTCGCTCACAGATCATGCCCCTTCGTTCCAGCTTTCACCCTCTTCAGGGCCTGCTGGCTCAAGTTCCCAACCACCTTTTAAACAGAAAATCCAACAGCTGTTGAACTTATTTAGAAGCACCTTGTTGAAATGATCTAGTTAAATTCTAAAGTAAACAATTAGCTGTAATTTCCCACGCAGGGAAGATAATTGTTGCTCCACATCAGGGGATGACAAATTATAGCCTGTGGGTCAGATCCAATCCACCACCTATTTTTGTCTGGCCTGTGAGCTAAGCATATTTTTACATTTTTAAATGTCTGGGAGAAAAAGTCAAAAATCAGCATTTCATGTTAATATATATACAATTTTACTGGAACAGAGCCCTGTTGATTCATTTAAGTATTGTCTATGATTACTTTCTTCCTACAACAGCCAAGCTGAATAGCTGTGACAGACACCACGTGGCCCACAAATCCTAAAATACTTGCTTATTCTTTGGCCCTTTACGAAAAGGTTTGCCAATCCCTGTTCTATTCTGTATGTAAAACAGTTCCACTACTACAGTTCTGTCATATCCCAAACCATTTCAATTCTAAGTGCCTTATTTCCAGGCCGATGTGTTTTGCTATAAGCAAATATATGATACATTGCTATAAGTGAATGCAAATTAAAAACCTAAAAAAGAATCATTAAAAGTGATTATTATTTTATAAGAAGATTCACAATTGGACTATTTTTAATAGCAGAAATTCAATAAGCAGGCCTACTATGTGTCAGGTGTTGCCCCAGGAGCTTACAATCTAGCAGAGGGAGAAAGATGAAATTGCAGAAGGTGTTATTAGGAGCAAAGGAATAAAGTACTGGACGGGGCCTTGGAGACTAGGTCATGCAGAAACCATAGGCCACAGTGAAGAGTTTG